TTTTGCACAAAAATTTAATCTGAGGTACCTTATGATGTGTTTTTTTAAAATGTAATTAGTTTTACAGGGATTAATTTATTTTAAAGTTAAAAAAATTTTGAAAAATGAAAAAATTGCGTGTTTTTACTTAAAAATTCATGAGTTATATAAATTTTTAATATTATGAATCAAAAATTTAAGGTTATACTCTTAATGTATTATTCTTTAAGGAAAAAATTATCACAACAGCAGGACTTGAAAAAAAAGTATTTATTTAGCAAAATAAAAATGTCTTATTTCAGGTTAAAATTAAAAACCTTATTTTTTTTCTTTTATATCGAATTAGTTGTATCATAAAACTTACAAAATTACTAAGAATATGTGAAACTATTAAAATATAAAAAATATTTAAAAGCTACACATTGAATTAATTTGAGCTCGAAAAAATACTCGGGTCTACTGAACCCATGGTGTCATTTAAGGGTTAAATATTAATAATATTAAATATTTATTTAAATGTTTTAAAATTATTAAATTGAATATATTTTTTTAATAAATATTTTCATTTTTTTTTTATTTGCCAAAAGTATGAATTTAAATAAATTTTAATTGTCTCAAATAAATGCAAATAAAAGATATCTCCTTGATGTATAAACTAAAGAATTATACGATTGCAACATAAATATTGTAATATTACGAATTTTTTATTTTTTCATTTATATAGGTATATCTTCATCTTGTACCTACAAATTACTTAATTCTTTATAGCTGTCAGTCTAAAAGTCATTTCATTGAATCAAAATCGAAAATGTTTACATTGAAGACTCTTATATAGCTGTAAAAAGTTTTAGATTGCCAAACACACAATATATATGTGTGCGTGTATATATACTTTATGCATTGAATTCTTGTTTCTTTCTCTTTGCGCTTTTGCTAAAATCAAAGTCATGTCTCGTCTCAAAGTCTTGTCGAGAGAGAAAATACCAATTCTCTCTTTCTCCTTTCATCATTCCATCGCTCTCAATCGTTCTTCTGTAATGCACGATTACATAATATGTATAGACCAAACAGTTGGCAGAAAATCCAACGTTAATATATATATATATAGTATACCGTGAGATCTCGATCTTTTGCCGTCTCTTCTTCTTCTTCTTCTTTAGCTCGTCAAGAGTCGAATAAACCAAAGAGAAGAAAAAAAGTAAATTAATAACATTTACGATTAATTGTATTATTAGACATTCGTTCGTCTTTATTTTTATTTATTTGATAAAAAGATCTTCAAGTTTATTAAAATCAGAAAAAATATTTCATTTATATTCATATATATATTAAATTCTAAAAATTGTTTTCATTTCTAAATATTTATATATATAAGAAAATTATTTTAAATTAACATTATTTTAAATTTATCAAAATTTCATTGAAATTAAACCAACTGTTTTAACTTTTGAAAATATGAAATAAAAGTTTTGTTTATTCTTTAATTTGTTTAAATATGAAAAAAAACTTCAATTTCGAAGATAATTTAATTATTTAGCAGAAATGAAATTTTTTTATAGTTTAAAATAGAAAAAAGAAACGAAAGATACAATTTTTTCTTCTTTTTGTTAATCTGGCTAATTTTTTTTTAGTTCACTCGGTATATTATTATTATTATCTTTTATACAAAATTTTTAGAATTAACTTTTTTTTTTGTTTCGAATTAACGAGATTTATACATGTTAATCAACGTGAATACAATGACATAAAAAAAAAATATCAACGAAAAAATGTAGCAGTAAATTATATAGCCTCTCCTACTTCCGCCGCGCCGGATTCGTTTGTTTCTATAATTAATTATAATCCAAGTCTCATTAAGGTCTTTTTAATTTAATGACTATATTAAGTTGCAATTGTTATGATTCAAATGTAGAGGGAAAAAATTTTTTTTTTTAAATTTCCACTGGCAATTTTATCATACTTAATTAGAGTAATTGTTCCTTAATCAAATTAAGTTGTTTGACGATTGTTTCTTAATTAATAATTAAGGAAATTATTCCTTTAAAAATAGACAATATTCTTTTTGGTTAAAGAACAAAAATTATACTATATATATAAAATTATATATATATATATATACGACTGTATTTGTCATGAATGTATGTCATATGTATATAACAACAATTCATACAATGTCACAACTTAAAATTTTTCAAGCTTGACAATTGAGATAAAAAGAAAAATTTATTTAAAAAATGCGTTACTTATCCTTGAATGAAATTATAAGAATTTTAAAAATCTTTTACGACAATAATTTCGAAAGAGAAAAAAAATTTCGAAACTATTGTATATATGAAATTACTATATATATATATATACATATGCAATCAGTATTTGAAAGATTCACATAAAATCTTTTATTTGTGTTTATTTGAATCAAATAAAAATTTATTTATCACAGAGTCTAATGTCATTTTATTTGTTTTAAATAAAAAATTTAATTTAGCACAAATTAAATTTTATTCAACACGCAAATAAAATTTATTTGAAACAAATTAAATATATTTATTTGGCTATGAGTCAAATATATATTTTTTCTCTAAGTGTGTATTGTTTTTGAATTTGAAATAAATTTGTAATAGAATTCAAAATCATCAAAATTGAAGTGAAAAATACTTGAAATTATCGTGAATTATTTTTTAATTTACCACCAATTAATACAACGAAAAATTGAAGCTAATACAGAAAGGATTATTTTAAACCAAACATAGGGTTGTTGCATGTTAAAATTGTATTCGAAATACATTTAAATTTACTAGAAGGTATTTCGAAAAGACATTAAACAGGGGCGATTTTTGAATTTCGCGCGAGAAATGACAACGCGTCGTCTGCAAAAGTAAAACATCCACATAGTCGTAGAAACAGAAAATGGGAAAAATCATGACACACATTTAAATGTTGTTTAAAATAAAAATAAAAACAATAATGTTTAAAACAAAGAAAAAAATGTTGATTGTGAAGAAATGAATTAATTAAAGGATGTGATGAAAGTTCTTGACGTCAATAATTGATGTATTAATATGAAAAAGTAATTTTTTGCAAATGTGAGGTTATGTCGGTTTGTTGACAAAAAATATTGTGTACAAGAAGCCGGTAAAAAGTTAAAAGTGTTATTTTAAAGTGAGTTTTTGATAAAAAAAGAAAGAGTAATTAATGATCTGGTGAAAAAACAATGAAATTTCTATAACAGTGAGTATAATTTAATAATTATTTATTGTTGATAAGTTTGATGAATCCAAAACGATATGTTTGTATAAACTAAATTGTTGGGTGTTTTTTTTATTTAACCTAATTATTAAATTAATTAATAAAATAAATTATTTATTATAAAAATTAAAATCCAATATTAAAAATTTTATTTTTTGTGCATTATTTTGTTTCAGAAAAAAAGGAAGAGACACAATAAAAAAATAGAATATCAACAAAAAAAAGTGTTGAGCAAACGTTTTGGGAAAAAGCAATTAAAGTCTGTTACTTCCAATTATTAATTATGTATTTTCAAAAAAATCTAATTGTTTTTTCTTATTTTTTAGACTTGTTTAAAAAAACCAAACGTTCCACCTTCGGCATCATTTAATTTCTTGTATTGATATCGATGATGATGATTCATGATGATAATGATGATGATGGTAGTGATGATGATAATAATGAGGACAATAATGAGGATAAGGATAATGATAAGAATGATGACTATGATGCTACTAATAAAAAACAAACCCTGCTGCTGATTCAAACAACAAAAATTATTTATAAAAAAAATAATGTCAAAAAGGATTTATTGCTGCTGTACCTGAATACTAATCAACATGATGCAGATGCAGATAAAATGAAGAGGACAAAAATAAAAATAATAATTACACATCTTTTTTTAATAAATTCAAATAATATAAATTAAATTATGTTAACAATACACATAACAATTAATAAACGATTTATTTTCAGCTCTATGGCCAACATTGGAAGCAACAAAGTGGACGCAATTCATTCAACAACCTAAAAATCAGGACAATTGAAGAAAGAATCAAGCATCACAAATACCAACAACGAAAATAATTAATCAACAAACTTTTTATAAAAGAATCTAATCCACCCGTAGAGTAGAGAAAAGCAATTGTTATTGTCGCTTCGCATAATTTTCAATATTAAACTTAGGTTTTCAATTTTCCATATTTGTCAAAATTCTCAAATTTTCGGAAATCGCTTTTTCTCTCGCAAATTTTTAGTTTTGTAAATTGGTCTTTCTCTCTTATTTTAACTATTCTCCACCGGTTGTAGAGTGAAGAAATAGAAAAGTTATTGCATTTTAGATTATTCTTCACTATTAAACTTAGGTTTTCGATATTCCATATTTGTCAAAATTCTCAAATTTTCGGAAATCGCTTTTTCTCTCGTAAAGTTTTCTATTTCAAAATAAGGCTTTCTCGCTTTTATTAACTATTCTCCAACCGTTGTAGAGTGAAGAAAAGGAAAAGTTTTTGCATTTTAGATTATTTTTCAATATTAAAGTTAGGTTTTCTATTGTCCATATTTGTCAAAATTCTCAAATTTTCGGAAATCGCTTTTTCTCTCGCAAATTAATAGTTTTGGAAATTGGTCTTTCTCTCTTATTTTAACTATTCTCCACCGGTTGTAGAGTGAAGAAATGGAAAAGTTTTGCATTTTTGATTATTTTTCAATATTAAAGTTAGGTTTTCTATTGTCCATATTTGTCAAAATTCTCAAATTTTCGGAAATCGCTTTTTCTCTCGCAAATTAATAGTTTTGGAAATTGGTCTTTCTCTCTTATTTTAACTATTCTCCACCCGCTGTAAAGTAAAAAAATAGAAAAGTTTTTGCATTTTAGATTATTCTTCAATATTAAACTTAGGTTTTCAATTTTCCATATTTGTCAAAATTCTCAAATTTTCGGAAATCGTTTTTTCTCTCGCAAAGTTTTCCTTTTTAAAATAAGACCTTCTCGCTTTTATTAACTATTCCCCAACCGTTTTAGAGTGAAGAAAAGGAAAAGTTTTTGCATTTTTGATTATTTTTCATTATTAAACTTAGGTTTTCGATTTTCCATATTTGTCAAAATTCTCAAATTTTCGGAAATCGCTTTTTCTCTCGCAAATTAATAGTTTTGGAAATTGGTCTTTCTCTCTTATTTTAACTATTCTCCACCCGCTGTAAAGTAAAAAAATAGAAAAGTTTTTGCATTTTAGATTATTCTTCAATATTAAACTTAGGTTTTCGATATTCCATATTTGTCAAAATTCTCAAATTTTCGGAAATCGCTTTTTCTCTCGCAAATTTTTAGTTTTGGAAATTGGTCTTTCTCTCTTATTTTAACTATTCTCCACCGGTTGTAGAGTGAAGAAATAGAAAAGTTTTTGCATTTTTGATTATTCTTCACTATTAAACTTAGGTTTTCGTTATTCCATATTTGTCAAAATTCTCAAATTTTCGGAAATCGCTTTTTCTCTCGCAAATTAATAGTTTTGGAAATTGGTCTTTCTCTCTTATTTTAACTATTCTCCACCCGCTGTAAAGTAAAAAAATAGAAAAGTTTTTGCATTTTAGATTATTCTTCAATATTAAACTTAGGTTTTCAATTTTCCATATTTGTCAAAATTCTCAAATTTTCGGAAATCGTTTTTTCTCTCGCAAAGTTTTCCTTTTTAAAATAAGACCTTCTCGCTTTTATTAACTATTCTCCAACCGTTTTAGAGTGAAGAAAAGGAAAAGTTTTTGCATTTTTGATTATTTTTCATTATTAAACTTAGGTTTTCGATTTTCCATATTTGTCAAAATTCTCAAATTTTCGGAAATCGCTTTTTCTCTCGCAAATTTTTAGTTTTGGAAATTGGTCTTTCTCTCTTATTTTAACTATTCTCCACCGGTTGTAGAGTGAAGAAATAGAAAAGTTATTGCATTTTAGATTATTCTTCACTATTAAACTTAGGTTTTCGTTATTCCATATTTGTCAAAATTCTCAAATTTTCGGAAATCGCTTTTTCTCTCGTAAAGTTTTCTATTTCAAAATAAGGCTTTCTCGCTTTTATTAACTATTCTCCAACCGTTGTAGAGTGAAGAAAAGGAAAAGTTATTGCATTTTAGATTATTTTTCAATATTAAAGTTAGGTTTTCGATATTCCATATTTGTCAAAATTCTCAAATTTTCGGAAATCGCTTTTTCTCTCGCAAATTTTTAGTTTTGGAAATTGGTCTTTCTCTCTTATTTGAACTATTCTCCACCGGTTGTAGAGTGAAGAAATGGAAAAGTTTTAGCAATTTTAGATTATTCTTCAATATTAAACTTAGGTTTTCAATTTTCCATATTTGTCAAAATTCTCAAATTTTCGGAAATCGTTTTTTCTCTCGCAAAGTTTTCCTTTTTAAAATAAGACCTTCTCGCTTTTATTAACTATTCTCCAACCGTTTTAGAGTGAAGAAAAGGAAAAGTTTTTGCATTTTTGATTATTTTTCATTATTAAACTTAGGTTTTCGATTTTCCATATTTGTCAAAATTCTCAAATTTTCGGAAATCGCTTTTTCTCTCGCAAATTTTTAGTTTTGGAAATTGGTCTTTCTCTCTTATTTTAACTATTCTCCACCCGCTGTAGAGTAAAAAAATAGATAAGTTTTTGCATTTTAGATTATTCTTCAATATTAAACTTAGGTTTCCTATTGTCCAAATCTGTCAAAATTCTCAAATTTTCGGAAATCGCTTTTTCTCTCGTAAAGTTTTCTATTTCAAAATAAGTCTTTCTCGCTTTTATTAACTATTCTCCAACCGTTGTAGAGTAAAGAAAAGGAAAAGTTTTTGCATTTTTGATTATTTTTCATTATTAAACTTAGGTTTTCGATTTTCCATATTTGTCAAAATTCTCAAATTTTCGGAAATCGCTTTTTCTCTCGCAAATTTTTAGTTTTGGAAATTGGTCTTTCTCTCTTATTTTAACTATTCTCCACCCGCTGTAAAGTAAAAAAATAGAAAAGTTTTTGCATTTTAGATTATTCTTCAATATTAAACTTAGGTTTTCGATATTCCATATTTGTCAAAATTCTCAAATTTTCGGAAATCGCTTTTTCTCTCGCAAATTTTTAGTTTTGGAAATTGGTCTTTCTCTCTTATTTTAACTATTCTCCACCGGTTGTAGAGTGAAGAAATAGAAAAGTTATTGCATTTTAGATTATTCTTCACTATTAAACTTAGGTTTTCGTTATTCCATATTTGTCAAAATTCTCAAATTTTCGGAAATCGCTTTTTCTCTCGTAACGTTTTCTATTTCAAAATAAGTCTTTCTCGCTTTTATTAACTATTCTCCAACCGTTGTAGAGTGAAGAAAAGGAAAAGTTTTTGCATTTTTGATTATTTTTCATTATTAAACTTAGGTTTTCGATTTTCCATATTTGTCAAAATTCTCAAATTTTCGGAAATCGCTTTTTCTCTCGCAAATTTTTAGTTTTGGAAATTGGTCTTTCTCTCTTATTTTAACTATTCTCCACCCGCTGTAGAGTAAAAAAATAGAAAAGTTTTTGCATTTTAGATTATTCTTCAATATTAAACTTAGGTTTCCTATTGTCCATATTTGTCAAAATTCTCAAATTTTCGGAAATCGCTTTTTCTCTCGTAAAGTTTTCTATTTCAAAATAAGGCTTTCTCGCTTTTATTAACTATTCTCCAACCGTTGTAGAGTGAAGAAAAGGAAAAGTTATTGCATTTTAGATTATTTTTCAATATTAAAGTTAGGTTTTCGATATTCCATATTTGTCAAAATTCTCAAATTTTCGGAAATCGCTTTTTCTCTCGCAAATTTTTAGTTTTGGAAATTGGTCTTTCTCTCTTATTTGAACTATTCTCCACCGGTTGTAGAGTGAAGAAATGGAAAAGTTTTAGCAATTTTAGATTATTCTTCAATATTAAACTTAGGTTTTCAATTTTCCATATTTGTCAAAATTCTCAAATTTTCGGAAATCGTTTTTTCTCTCGCAAAGTTTTCCTTTTTAAAATAAGACCTTCTCGCTTTTATTAACTATTCTCCAACCGTTTTAGAGTGAAGAAAAGGAAAAGTTTTTGCATTTTTGATTATTTTTCATTATTAAACTTAGGTTTTCGATTTTCCATATTTGTCAAAATTCTCAAATTTTCGGAAATCGCTTTTTCTCTCGCAAATTTTTAGTTTTGGAAATTGGTCTTTCTCTCTTATTTTAACTATTCTCCACCCGCTGTAGAGTAAAAAAATAGATAAGTTTTTGCATTTTAGATTATTCTTCAATATTAAACTTAGGTTTCCTATTGTCCAAATCTGTCAAAATTCTCAAATTTTCGGAAATCGCTTTTTCTCTCGTAAAGTTTTCTATTTCAAAATAAGTCTTTCTCGCTTTTATTAACTATTCTCCAACCGTTGTAGAGTAAAGAAAAGGAAAAGTTTTTGCATTTTTGATTATTTTTCATTATTAAACTTAGGTTTTCGATTTTCCATATTTGTCAAAATTCTCAAATTTTCGGAAATCGCTTTTTCTCTCGCAAAGTTTTAGTTTTGGAAATTGGTCTTTCTCTCTTATTTTAACTATTCTCCACCGGTTGTAGAGTGAAGAAATGGAAAAGTTTTTGCATTTTAGATTATTCTTCACTATTAAACTTAGGTTTTCGTTATTCCATATTTGTCAAAATTCTCAAATTTTCGGAAATCGCTTTTTCTCTCGTAACGTTTTCTATTTCAAAATAAGGCTTTCTCGCTTTTATTAACTATTCTGCAACCGTTGTAGAGTGAAGAAAAGGAAAAGTTATTGCATTTTAGATTATTTTTCAATATTAAAGTTAGGTTTTCGATATTCCATATTTGTCAAAATTCTCAAATTTTCGGAAATCGCTTTTTCTCTCGCAAATTTTTAGTTTTGGAAATTGGTCTTTCTCTCTTATTTTAACTATTCTCCACCGGTTGTAGAGTGAAGAAATGGAAAAGTTTTTGCATTTTTGATTATTTTTCAATATTAAACTTAGGTTTTTGATTTTCCATATTTGTCAAAATTCTCAAATTTTCGGAAATCGCTTTTTCTCTCGCAAAGTTTTCCATTTTAAAATAAGTCTTTCTTGCTTTTATTAACTGTTCTCCAACCGTTGTAGAGTGAAGAAAAGGAAAAGTTATTGTCGGTGCTATTAATTTTTAATATTAATTTCATTTTTTCGTTAGTACATGTCGTCAAAATTTATATATTTTTCGACATCGGTTGTTTCGCAAAGTTTTTGTTTCAAATCTAGTCCTTGTTGTATTTATTACCTGTTCTAAACCCTGTGAATATTGAAGAAAGGAAATAGATATTGTCGGTTACCTTAATCTGCAATATTAAACTTCTGTTTTCTTTTTCTAAATTTTCAGACTTTTTGTTTTTGATTTTTTTCTGTTAAAGTTTTTAGTTTTTTAAATTAGTCTTTTTCTTTTTGATTTCCTATTATAATCTTTTTGTAGAATGATGAAAAGAGAAAATAAATTTTATTCTACTTAATTGAATATTTATCTTAATTTTTCTTTATTTTCTAAGTTTTTAATTTTTAATAAAATAGAAATATAATAGAAATAAATAGGAAATTTACTTTTTTTTAATAATAAAAGTGATATTAATTTTAAAAATTTATTATATAACATTTAATGTCATTATTTTATTACTTGTTTCGTGAATTATTATATTTGTTGAAATTATCTTGAAAATGTTAATTGTATTAATTAATTAGTTGTTTATTAAAGATCAAAAGAAATAAATAAGTTATTAAACTTTTTCTTTTGATTATTTCTTATTCGATTGTAAATTTTTTCGCATTACTTGTAGGATGATATTCATAGCGCTTTAGAATAAATTGTCCTGAGTTTTGTGTTAGAATTTTTCATTATGGAAGTAAAAAATTTTAGAAGAAAAAACGCTAGTCAAAATAATTACTTTTTAATATGAATATGTTTGTTATAAAAGATATGTATGATTCCATATTTTGATTAGCGTTGTTTATTCTATAAATAGGATTACTTTTTCGCTGTTTCACCCAAAATCTTCTTTGGCAAAGTGTTTTATCAAATTGTTTTTATTTTAAAAATAAGTAAATATGCCGCACGTTTACACAACTGAACAAAAAAAATTTTTAGTGGATGCTCAAATGTCAGGTTCCAGTATGAGAGTTGCCAGAGATTTATTCTCAGTAGAATATCCTGATTCTCCAATTCCGTCACTTTATACCGTGCATAAGTGTTTGCAACAGTATCAAAAGCATGGTTGCCTAAACGACGACCACCATAATGGACCACGAGTAAGTTCATTTTTATTTTTTTATGATATTATTAATATAACAATTTTTTCACTTTTAGATTTGTGAAACAACACAGAAAATTAAAAGGCATTAAAATAAGCTGCAACGCTTATTATTTTAATCCAATTTTGCTTATTTTAATCCATTTTGGTATTAAAATCAGCAAAATTGGATTAAAATAATAAGCGTTGCAGCTTATTTTAATACCTTATAATTTTCTGTGAAATTATAAATAACTTTAAGGAGTTTCGACAATTATTTTAAAGTAAAATTTTTATATTTTGAAGTAAGGTCAGTAAGTTAGATGAAAGTTTAATATCTGTACATATCGTGGGTTTAATTAATAAAGTTTTAAAATAAAGAGATTTTTTGAAATTTTTTATTATGATAGTATAATTCTTAATAACTTACTGTTATTTAATTTATACTTTCTTTACAGAGAAGAGTTCCTTATGTCATATCAGAGGAAATAGAACTCCGCATTTGTAGCTGTGTGGAAATAGATCCCCATGCTACATCCAAACATATAGCTAGAGATGTTGGAGTCTCTAAGTCCTCTGTTTTAAAGGTTCTGAAGAAAAATGGATACTTCCCGTATAAGGTTCGAAGTGGTCAAATTTTAAAAGAAATTGACAAGCCGCAACGGCTCCAAATGTGTCAGCAATTAATTGCTAAATTTCGGGAAGATCCTTCAATAAAGCGCAGAATCATGTGGACGGACGAATGCTCCTTTTGGCTGGATGGCAAAAGGAACGTTCAACACTTGCGTACGTGGTCCAGAACAAATCCTCGGGAAGTCGTGCCCACACATTCGCAATATCAAGCAAAAGTGAATGTGTGGTGCGGTATGATTGACGACAAGTTGATTGGACCATTCTTCATTGAGGGAAATTTAACGTCTGAAAAATACAGAGATATGTTATTAAATCTCATTGGTCCGGCGTTAGTTGATGCATTCGGTGACGAAGATATTGTAAGCAATACTGTTTTATTTAAAAACAATTTTACCATCATTAATATTATAAAAACGAATGTAAATTTACAATTGAGAAACAAAGCATACATTAAGAAATAACTGCCTAATTTTTGACAGTATACTAACTAATAAATTATTAACAGGAAATTTGGTTGCAACAAGATGGAGCTCCACCACACACTGCACGTTCTGTAAGGGAACTTCTAAATGAATTGTTCAACAACCACTGGATCGGTAAATTCAGCCCATCAATACCATGGGCAGCTAGATCGCCTGACTGCACTCCCCTCGATTTTTTCTTCTGGGGATATCTTAAAACAAAACTGTATAGATATGATCGAATCGAAAATATAGAAGAGCTAAGACGTCGCATTTTGGAAATCGCAGCAAACATTAGCCCTGAGGTTTTACGAAAAGTGACAAATGAAGAAGTCGAGAGAAGATTGCGAGCCTGCATTCAAGTGAATGGAGACATTTTTGAATATTTGTTAAGATAAATAAGTTAACTTTTTATTCAACAAATATTTATTTTATATTTTATTTTTTTTTATTTTATTTTTATTTTTACTTTTACTTTTATGATGACGAATATAATTCATTATTATTAATATTGATCTTATTTTACTCCTACTTGTTCTTGTTGTTCTTCTTCTTAGCCGTATCAAATAACTATTACAAATTCAAAATATTAACAATTTCAGAAAAAATAAGTAAATGCATTCATAATTAATTAAAAAAAAGAATATAAGCAATTCATTGCAAAAAGGAATTTAATTCAAAATTTAATCATAACTTACATGTAATAGAAAAACAACAGTTTTCAATTCAAAACAAATAAAAAATTATTATTTAAAAATTGTCCTAAAAATAATATCGAACTTAAAAATTAATACTAAATTATTTCATCTTTTGAGATCGAAAAAATAAGATTGAAAAACAAATTAATGCAAACCGAAAATAAATTTCTATTTCTTCACTCTACAAGGGGTTGAAAATAGTTAATAAATACTGACAAAGACTAATTTTAAAAATTAAAAATTTGCGAGAGAAAAAGCGATTTCCGAAAATTTGAGAATTTTGACAAATATGGAAAATCGAAAACCTAAGTTTAATAATGAAAAATAATCAAAAATGCAAAAACTTTTCCTTTTCTTCACTCTAAAACGGTTGGAGAATAGTTAATAAAAGCGAGAAAGCCTTATTTTGAAATAGAAAACTTTACGAGAGAAAAAGCGATTTCCGAAAATTTGAGAATTTTGACAAATATGGAATATCGAAAACCTAAGTTTAATATTGAAGAATAATCTAAAATGCAAAAACTTTTCTATTTTTTTACTTTACAGCGGGTGGAGAATAGTTAAAATAAGAGAGAAAGACCAATTTCCAAAACTATTAATTTGCGAGAGAAAAAGCGATTTCCGAAAATTTGAGAATTTTGACAAATATGGAATAACGAAAACCTAAGTTTAATAGTGAAGAATAATCAAAAATGCAATAACTTTTCTATTTCTTCACTCTACAACCGGTGGAGAATAGTTAAAATAAGAGAGAAAGACCAATTTCCAAAACTAAAAATTTGCGAGAGAAAAAGCGATTTCCGAAAATTTGAGAATTTTGACAAATATGGAATATCGAAAACCTAAGTTTAATATTGAAGAATAATCTAAAATGCAAAAACTTTTCTATTTTTTTACTTTACAGCGGGTGGAGAATAGTTAAAATAAGAGAGAAAGACCAATTTCCAAAACTATTAA